CGTCAACGACTTCAACCTGGCAGCGGGCAGCCAGCAGTTCCACGGCCCATGCGTGTTGGCATCGACGCCTCCAGCATCAGCGAGCAGCCCGACCGACGCTTGCCTTTCCGCAACCTCGTCGGCTCGCTCCTGTAACCTGGCCAACCCGCACGAGACCAGACGTCAGCTTCGCATGCGGGCTGCTCTGCCGTTACATGGACCGTTACACGACGGTCCACTGGCAGGCAGCCAAGCACGTCGTGCGGTACCTGAAGGCGACGAGCGAGCACGGCCTCCTCTTCAAGCGACGCAGCGGCACGCGCAAGGACCAGCCGCTGGACCTTGTGTGCTACAGCGATGCCAGCTTCGGCACAGACCAGCTGACGGGCCGCTCCACGACGGGCTTCACCTGCTACATCAACGGCTGTCTTGTGTCTTGGAGCAGTCGGCTGCAACCCACGGTTGCGCTGAGCACCGCCGAGGCCGAGTACATGGCCATCTCCGCTGCAGCGCAGGACGTCGTCTTTCTGCGGCAGCTGCTCATGGACCTCGACGAGCCCGAGGCTGGAGCCACCAAGATGCTGACAGATAACCAGGCGGCCATCGCCATCGGCAACGACCACGTCACCAAGCCGCGCACGAAGCACATCCGGGTACGCCACCACTTCGTGCGGGAGCTCATCGCCGACGGAACCATTGTGCTGCAGCACTGTCCCGGCACGCGGATGGTTGCCGACGCGCTGACCAAGGCACTGGACAAGCAGACCTTCGAGCAGCACCTGCCACGATTGGTGGGAACATCGACGGCTGAGACGGAGCAGAGGAAGGCAGTTGAGGGGGAGTGTTGAGAGTGAGTGAGTTTCTGTTTCGTGTTGAGTCCTTCCTAATTTGCCTTCTCATGTGGTTTTTGTCTTGTTTGCCAACAACACCTGCTTTGTGGTTTTTCCGTTGGCAAACATTCCTTCCTCTCTGCTGGCATGCATGTGTGCCAACTGCCTCTCCTCTCCTCCTTCCCCTACACACGTGAGTTGTGTGCCATGTGTGTGTGTGCATGCTCGCCATGCTTGACGGATGCCATGTGCACGTGCCATGCAGTGTTGTGAAGTGTTGTCTGTTGTGTATGCTTGCCTGCAAGCATTGCTCTGCGCGCATGTATGCATGCTGTTCGTTGTTTAGATTGTTTGTGTTCGCGCACACTCTGCCCATGTCGCCTTGGCAGCTCTGTTGACTGTGTGTGCACTTGTCTTGTGGTTGTTTGAGCGTGCTGCCCGAGTTGATTTGGCAGCAGCTTGTTGTGCTTGTTCATTCTCCTTGTGTTCTTGTTTGTTGCGTTTGCCTACCGTAAACACACACACACACACACAATCATCTACTGTCTGGAAATCTAGCTTCATTGCAGTGTGAAGAACGGCCATGTTTGAAGCATTGGGGATGAAAATGGCAAGGAAACAAAAGGATGATGGGTGGAAAGCTGTCCAACAAGGTTGGAGCTGTTTCAGTGATGGAAGAGACGTGTGCCTGTGAAGGACATGGCCATGCCGTATTCGTCGCAGGCTTCAATCACGGTGTCGTCCTGCACGCTGCCGCCAGGCTGGGTCACAAACGCAACTCCGTGCTTTGCGGCCTGCAAGTGTTGGCGGGACGAGTGAGCAAGAGCTATATTTTGATCGAGACGACTAGACGCGTGTCATAGTTGCAACTCAAGGACATGCTGTCCTCAAGCCCACAACAACGCCAAACACCAACCAAGTCAGAGGCATGTGACACCACATGCAACACACACACGCACATACACGCGCAACACACACACACACACACACAGACACACAGACACACACACACACACACAAACCTGGTCAATGTTGTCACGGAAGGGGAAGAATGCGTCACTCGACAGCGAGACGTTCTTGAAAGATGCAGCCCATTCCCTGGACTCCTCCATCTGTGACAGGCCACAGATGAGAGAAATGTGGAGCTCCAAATACAACTGTAATCACACACACACACACACACACACACACACACACACACACACACACACACCGTGAGTGGCTCGGGAACCTCCTCGAAGAGCTCTTCCCAGTGTGTTTTCTCTTGAGGTGTCATGTCGTTGCTAATGTATGCAACACGGGCATTGATCCGAGCTTGTTTCTGCATTTCAAAACAGATACGCGAGGTGAGTTGAGAGTTGTGGCAGCCCGACCGGTTCCATTGTCTGTCGTAAACGTGTACACTCCTCCCTTTCGTTGTGCATGCAAACACTGTCAAACCGAAGCGCTCACCTTCACGCCGGCCTTGAACTTGAGGTTCAGAACCTTGGGGTGGGTGCGCGCACGCCACGTGTCCACCTTACGGCCAGCCAGCTTGACGCAGTCCACACGGCTTTGCTGACCAGCACCAACACCGATCACCTGACCCTCGGCGGCATAACACACGGAGTTGGACTGGGTGTACTTGACGGCGATGGTCGCAACGACGAGGTCACGAAGGGCTTCTTGGTGGATGCTTTGCTTCGTGACCACCTTGGAGTTGACAAGATCTGGTGTAATGGTGGCCGTGTTGCTATAATGGGCAAGCGGCAAGCAGCATAACGTCGACAGTGTGAGCCATAATGGAGCAAGCCAAGCATCTGAGAGGAGCATTGACAACACAACACCACTGAGCTACCGTCTCAACCATAGGGACACCAACAGGCCAACAGAGAGGCAGACACAGACACAGACACACACACACACACACATACACATACACACACACACACACACATGCACATGCACACAAACGTACACACAGACACAGACACACACAGACGTACACACAGACACAGACACACACAGACGGACACACACGCACACACACACCGAATCTGGGTGAGGGCCACGCCAAAAACTTCCTTGACTTCATCAGCTGGGGCCGCGTACTTCAGGTTTCCTTCCAGGATGAGATAGCGCCCTTTCTTCTTGGCCTTTAAGATCTCCAAGGCCGCGGGCTCAAACCCGGACGCGATGATGCCGTCGCTGACCTCAAACTGCAGCAGGCGCGCTGTGCTCTCGTCCACAACGCCGCTGATGGCCACAAAGTCGCCGTAGCTGGAGAGTGGGTCCGCGCCGCGCGCCCGCACATATGCCAGGGCCTGGTCTGAGAGCGTGCTTGGATCGACCTCGTACGCCTTGGCCAATTGTGCGGAGAGCGGCGTGGCAACCGCCGCACCAGCAGGGCTGACGTGCTTGAAGGAAGCTGCGGCGGGAAGGTCCAGGGCGGAGTTGAGCTCGCGGACCAGCTGCCAGGCGTTGAGGGCGTCCATCAGGTTGATGTACCCCGGTTGCCCGTTGACCACACGGAATGGCAGGGCATGGCCGAGGACGCTGGCATAGCTGGCGGGGCTCTGATGCGGGTTGGCACCGTACCGCAACGCACCACCCTGTACGTATAAGCGGGAAGACACTGCCTGGTCTGGGGTGGTTTCTTTGGTCATGTACGCGGCGACGGCCGCGTCGTATTCGCAGGTGCGGGTGAAGGCCTTGGCGGCCAGCTTGCGCCTGGTAGCCACTGAAAGGGCACCGCCTGTCTTGTCCATCTCTGCGAGAACGGCCTCGTACTGGTCAGGGCTGGTGACCACAGCAACGCTGTCGCAGTTCTTGGCCGCCGCGCGCACCATTGTTGGGCCGCCAATGTCAATCATCTCAATGCAGTCCTCAAAGCCCTTGCCAGATGCAACCGTCTGTCATGAATGAAGATAAGGGAAGGGGGAAGGAACGAAATGGGTATGGGCGAGGGATAGAGATTGGACAGATTGGGGAGAGGCGGTGGTGGATCACAGGCATGTGAGAGGCGGTGGTGGATCACAGGCATGTGAGAGGGTTCGATAGAGCATCACGAATAGTGCGCATGAATCACAAAACAGGTGTGCACGGCCAAGCGAACCCAGTTCCTAGCCAGGCTGACAGGCACAGACAGACGTGAAGGTGTACGCACCCACCTTCTCAAACGGGTAGAGGTTGGAGATGACCATGTCGATGGGCTCAATGTTGAGGTCTGCAAGCTCCTTGAGGTGCTGCTCTTCCTTGCGATTGGCAAGCAGGCCCCCGTGGATGGCTGGGTGCAACGTCTTCACTCGGCCGCCTGATGCATTGGGAGGAGAAGGCACACGCAGCAGCCATCGGAGTGAGAAAGGCAGGGCAGTACATGCACAAACGGACGCAATCATAAGCAAACACAGACACGCACAGAGACAGACAGACAGACACACACACACATACACATACACACTTACACAGACAGACAGACAGACACACGCACAGAGACAGACAGACACAGAGACATACAGACACTTACACTTACCTACACACACACACACACGCACACACACACACACACACACACACACACACACACACACACACAGACACACACAGACAGACAGACACACACACACATTACCAAGCATCTCGGGCCACTTTGTGACGTCTTGTACGTCCACCACGGGAACGCCAGCCTTTCGGAGCGCAGCGGCGGTGCCACCCGTCGACAGCACGGTCACACCATGGCGCGCAAGTGCTGGGCCAAGCACGTCGATGCCTTGCTTGTCAAACACCGACACCAGCGCCCGCTTCACATGAACCAAGCCCTCAGCCATAGTTGCAGACGGATCGATTGCGCTTCAACCTAACCGACACGGTGTGAGTCTGTGTGTTTGTGTTTGTGTGGTTGCAATGAGAACTGGAGGGAGAGCTCGTGTCGTCAGTGACCGCTGCGATGTCGCTGTTGCTGTTCAGTGAGACGTGAATGAATGACGTGTGTTTTCGCGGTCTCGTGAAATGCAGCACTTTGTGTGCGCAACAAAACAACACCAACACCAACACCAACACCAACACCAACCCACGATTACGACACGAGACACGACCACGGATCATGAGCACTGGTGGCCAGCAGCTTGGGGGCGGCGGGGTGTACCTCCTTGACTACGGAGCAGGCAATGTTCGCAGCGTTTGCAACGCTGTTGCGGTAGCTGGGGTATCGCTCAACTTCATCCGGAGCGCAGATGACTTTGACAAGGCCGACAAGCTCATCTTTCCAGGCGTTGGCTCGTTTGGCGCCTGCATGCATCGTCTTGAGGAGCTTGGGTCAGATGCACGTGTGCATGTGCGTTTGCATGTGCGTGTGTGTGTGTGTGTGCGCACGCGTGTGTGTACGTGTGCGTGTGTGCGTGTGTGTGTGTGTGTGCTTGTGTGTGCTTGTGCGTCTGTGTCTTTGTGTCTCTCTTTCTTCTTCCTTCTCTCTGTTTTCTTGATGTGCACAAGCCTCATCCCCAACACCCGCACTCACACAAACAAACAGACAGACAGGCACAGACACAGACACAGACACAGACACAGACACAGACACAGACACAGACACAGACACAGACACAGACACAGACACACACACACAGACACAGACACAGACACAGACACAGACACACACACACACACACACACACACACACACACACACACACACACACACACACACACACACACAGACACAGACACACCATCTCCCTCCCTCCCTTCTTCCTTCCCTCCCTCTTTTCGTTCCACATGTCACTGCATACTTTCGCGCTTCACGTAACACTCCGCCTGCGTACATTCACGCCATCCCAACAGATACATCGAACCTCTGCGGGCGTTCATTGCGTCGGGCCGCCCATACCTGGGCATTTGCCTGGGAATGCAGACGCTGTTCAAAGGAAGCGAGGAGTCGCCGGGCATCGAGGGGCTCGGGGTCATTGACAGCACCATTTCGCGTTTCCAGGTCCCCGACCATCTCGCTGTGCCGCACATGGGATGGAATGGCGTCAACCCACGCCAGTCATCCAAGGTGCTGGAGGAAGCAGGTGCGAGCAGCAAGTTTTACTTCGTGCACAGCTTCCTTGCGCTGCCAACACGGGGAACCGCGGCCTGGGCGCTCACCACCACCAACTACGGCATCGAGTTTGTCAGCTCCGTGTGCAAGGGCAACGTGCTGGCCACGCAGTTCCACCCAGAGAAGAGCGGGCAGGCAGGGCTTCGCCTCATCAAGCAGTTTCTCCTGCAGGACAGCCCCAGTGAGGCTGGCAGCGCTGACATGGTTGTGACGCCGAACCCACCGCCTACAAACCTTGCACCCCGCCTGATCGCTTGTCTCGACGTCCGCACAAACGATCACGGAGACCTTGTTGTCACCAAAGGCGACCAGTGAGTGCCTGGCACTCACACCTCCATGTGTTTCGTTGCTCTGCTCATGCTTCTGTTGCGTGTGTAGGTGTGCGTGCTAGCGTGTGTGTGAGCGTGTGTGTGCGAGCGTGTGTGTGTGCGTGTGTGTGTGTGCGTGTGCGTGTGTGTGCATGTGCACTGATTCAAGATGCATTCAAGCGTGCGGGGCTCAACCCTGGTTCAATGTGCTCTTTGCTGCCCTCCTTTACCGTCCTCGCGACAGGTATGACGTGCGAGAGAAGGATTCTCGCAATGTGCGGAACCTGGGCAAGCCTGTGGATCTGGCTGCTCGGTACTATACGGATGGTGCTGACGAGGTCACTTTCCTCAACATCACCTCTTTTCGTGACTCTCCACTTCGTGACCAGCCCATGCTTGAGGTAGGTGTGTGTGTGTGTGTGTGTGTGTGTGTGTGTGTGTGTGTGTGTGTGTGTGTATCTGCGTCGATAGTCTTTTCCATGCGTCCACATGTCTTTTTCTGTGTGCGTCCGTTTTCGTTCTTCTATGAACTGCGCCCTGCATTTATTTAGGTTACACGATGTCAATGTGCCAATCACCTTCGCAGTGCCTGATTACATCAACCATGCATATGTGAGGCCATAACTCGCATGAGTGCATCTCCCTCACCCCTCACCCCTCACCCCTCACCCTCTCTCTGTCTTCCCGCACGCTGCCCTCCCACCTACCACACTCAATTGCAACATTTGTGCCCCCCCCCCCGGCAAAGGTGCTACGCAAGACGTCTGAGCGCGTGTTTGTGCCGTTGACGATTGGCGGCGGCATCCGGGACGTGACAGATCCCGACGGCACCCCACACACGGCGCTCGAGGTTGCCAGCGAATACTTCCGCAGCGGCGCAGACAAGGTCTCCATCGGCTCCGACGCCGTCCTCATCACTGAGCAGTTTCTGCGCACGGGCGTGAAGACCGGAAAGTGAGTCGCCCAAGTCTGCCTGGCCCCGCTGTTTTGACTCCACGTCTCATGCCCCCCCCCCCTCCTGCCCGACTTGTTTCCCTCAGCTTCGTTCTGGCGCAAGCTTCCCCGAACGCCCCGATTCCTTGCTGGTACCCTTAATCCATGTGATTGCTTCACTGCCCTTTGGTGACATCAGGTCCAGCATCGAGCAGATCTCGCACGTGTACGGTGCACAGGCCGTTGTCATCTCCGTTGACCCGCGTCGCGTGTACGTTGCGTCACCCGATGATACAAAGGTGTGATGCCATGCAACCCCCAAATCACAAGTGCAATACGTGGCTTTGCGTGCCTTGCGCGGGTGCTTGCGTGTGGAAGTGCGTCTGCATGTACTGTGCTCGCATGTGTGTATGTGTGTGTATGTGTGTGTATGTGTGCGTGTGTGTGCGTGTGTGCGTGTGTGTGAGTGTGTGTGTATGTGTCTCACACGCCTGCTCGTGCATGCATGCACAGCACCACACAATCAAGACGCAAGTGCCCGGGCCCAACGGCGAAGCGTATTGCTGGTACCAATGTACCATCAAAGGCGGCCGAGAACCAAGGTGCGTCCTTGAGGTCGTTGCTCTTTCTCACTCTTTCTTGCGCGCGCGCGCTCTCTCTCTCTGTGTTTCTGTGGGTACTTGTTGTTGCTTGTCCTGCACTCGTATGCATTGTGTTCCACCGTTGACACTGGATGCCATCCGTGCAGGGACATTGACGCGTACGAGCTCGCAAGGACGTGCGAGGAGCTGGGTGCCGGCGAAATTCTCCTCAACTGCATGGATAAGGACGGAACGAACAGCGGCTACGACCTTGGTACGTGTGCGTGCACGAGCGCGCGCGCGTGCATGTGCGAGCGTGGTTTGCCTGCTCCCTCCCCTTCTTTGTACATGCTGATACTGCCTGTGGAGCACGATTTAGTAGTTATCGTGCACACACACACACACACTTTGACACACATGGATGTTAACACTCGGTTCACTTGGCGCATGTGCGCATGAATGGTGGTGCCAGAACTGATTGCGGACATTGTGGATGCCGTCTCCATTCCCGTGATTGCCTCCTCTGGCGCCGGCAAAGTGGAGCATTTCTCCGCGTGTCTGCGCACGGCAAAACCGGCAGCCGTCCTCGCTGCAGGCATCTTCCACAGGGAGGAGGTGCCCATCCAGCAGGTCAAGCAGCACCTCAGCGAGTGCGGCTTTGAGACGCGCCCCGTTGAGTGATGGCGCACACGACCGCAGAGAAAACGGGGGCGGGGCAGACGAAACGACGAGAAACAGGGGCCGAGGGGAGGAGCGCGAACGCGAGAGGCAAGGAGCGATAACGACGTGGTAGTAGGACAGGAGCAAAGGACAGCTTCAAGAAGAATATCATCAACACAACAGTACGGACGAACGTAACGCTTGCAAGCAAAGGGGGAGGAGGAGGAGGAAGAAGAAGAAGAAGAAGAACAAGGGCAAGGAGAGGCGGGGCGGTGCGGCATGGATCGTCATGCGAGGGGAGGAGGAGGAGGAGGAGGAGAAACATGAGGAGGAGTGGAAGTGACAGCCATGGACTGATTGATGGTTGCGCGACGGCTACATGATGAGACAGCGAGCGTCTTCGCCAGGATCCGATGCACCATCACCACCATGCTCTCCTCTGCCATTGCCCAAGAATGAAGGCAAGCGCGTTGTGTATGCATGTGCGTGTGCGTGTGAGCGTGCGTGTGCGTGTGTAAGTACAAAGATTTGACAACAACCTGCTTGAAGCAGGAGCAAAAGAAACTGAGACATTGATCTCATCAAGCAGCCAACCATAGACAAAACACACAGACAGACAAGACAGACAGACGCACTCAAAGACGAGGTGTTCAGCCGCCGAGCGCTGCTGCTGCTGCTGCTGCTGCTGCTGCTGCTGCTGCTGGTCCTCGTGTCGTTTGCGCCGAGAGCGCCTGCTCCGTCGGCCGCTGAGAGAAAACGTGTGGCGCCGCCGATCGCTGCCCGCCGCCGTCGCGCTGCCGTGCGACTGGTCAAGTTCAGCAGAGAATTGCTGTGTGCGCAGGCACGTGTGTACAGGTGCGGCGGGCATGGGTGTGAGGAAACGGACATAGGTGCATGTGTGAGATCAAAGCAAGGCACATGAACAGCCTTCGTGCTTTTCTCGATATGGAAATACGCACCGCTTGTTGCTTGAGCAACTTCTTCTCCAACACTGCCAATCGCGCCTGCGCCTCCTCTGCTTGCTTCTTCACCGCTTCATGCTCCCGTTGCAACCCCTAATTCAACCATGGAGGCGAGGGACAAGCGGGCGCATCACATTCAAGGTGCACACACAACCGAACGTGAGCATTCAACAAGTGCATCTGATGTCGCCAGCACATACACACACACACGCACACACACACACACACGCACACACGCACACACACGCACACACACACACACACACACACGAATGTGAATCGATTGTCAACCTCGTGTGCTGCCTGGAGTGTGTCAAATCGATGGGCTGTGTTGCGGTATTGGTTCTGAGCGTGATCGCACGCCTGCTGTGATTGCTCGATCTTCTTCGTCTTTGCGTCCACGTCCTGCGACAGCTTCTTCACCTGCGTGTCCTTGTCTTCAATTGTCGCCAGCAGCGACTTGACCTGCGCCGCCTGTTCCTCCACCGTAGTTTGCATGGCACTGAGCACACATCACATGCACGTCAGGGCGGTGAGCACGAACACGAGCCGGCACAGTGCGACCATGAATGCAAAGGGCAAGACCAGCGCGAACCTAGCACCCTCCAGACAGTACGGGGATACGCACACGCATACAAACAGACAGCCAGCCAATATGCCCGATAGACTGGACAGACACATTGATAGATAGATAGACACACACGCACAGACACACAGACACACAGACACACAGACACACACAGACACACACAGACACACACAGAGGCACACCTCAGCATTCGTGTTGCCTCATTTGCGCGCTGCTGGGCGTCCTTTGCCTGCACTTCGCGCTCCTCCAGTTTACTGCGAAGTTCCTGTACATGCAGCCGCTCTGCAATCAACGCGCCGTGGAGAAAGTGCACCTGCCATCGTGTGGTGTGCGTGTCATGCCGCAAGGGCATCGCCAACACAGCCACACAGACGCACACACAAGGGTTGAGAGACGGTGAGCACCTCGAGGCTGTTGGAGGTGTGAAGCCCCAGGAGGCATATAGAAGATGGGGAAGAAGGACAGCGATGTATGCGCAACGGTGATGGGCAGGAACGATGGTAACGCACCGAATGCCTCTCATGCGCAGGATCTGCGTCGTTGTCCTTGTGCTCCTTGTCCGCTACCGCCATCTGAAGCTCCTACAACAACCAAGAGGACCAGAGCCCACACACATACACATACAAACACACATCAGCAGCCGTTTGAGTCACTTGCACATTGGCAGACAGACAGACAAAAACACACAGACAGACACAGACACAGACACAGACACAGACAGACACAGACACAGACACACAGACACACACACACACAAATGACATCGCGCTCTGCAACTTGTGCGATCACCTGTGTGAGAAGTTTCACTTTTGCATCCAGGGCCATGAGCTTTGAGCGCAATATTCTCTGCACAGAGAGGAATTCGGAGGGCGATCCCTGTTCAACCAGCAAGTCCGCCATCCACGTGTCGACGTCCTGACGAAACCATTGAGGCCGGTGGGTGCGCGTGAGATTATCAATTGAACAAGGGTAGTAAGAATTGAACAAGAGTGGCAAGAATCATCAAGAATCCGTTAAGTTGGGCACATTGGACGGACAAGCAGAGGCAGGGGGACGGACAGAAGGGGAGTGCGATAGAGTTACACACACACACACACACACACACACGCGCGCGCACACACACACACACACACACACACACACACACACACAAACAAACAAACAAACAAACAAACAAACAAACAGCAGCACAGACGTGAACGCACCGGCTCGCTTGCGTCATCATCCACGACAGACTCTGCACTGCCCTCGTCGGATGCAAGGTGCACGCGAGGCGTCTTTGGCGGCGATGCATCGGGGACCATCAGGTTCGTTTTGCTCTTCCCCGTGGAGAACACGCGGTCACGGGAGGAGGGCTTGAGCACGTTGCCGAGGATGCGGTGGCGGCGCGTGTTTGGGCTCAAAGCGCCGTCGCTCGCGTCGGCCTCGCTTGGGTAGATGTCGGAGAGCAGCGCCTTGCAGTCCAGATTCGCCACGTGGTACGTGTCCCAGTCGTTGCCGCCGTCCTTGATTACCACGCAGAAGCGGTGCGCGTCCAAGAGCCTGAGGCGGCAGGTGGCCAGGTTGTATTCCGCCTTGACAGAGAGCATGTTGTTCTCGCGCTCCTTGCACGAAATGATTCCGGAGCGGAAGCAGAGGACCATGCGGTGGCTGTGCTTCCCCTGCTTGCCCTCAATCAACAGGTTTGCCTCTGGGATGAACGCCAGCAGCTGCCCCAGCTCGGCAAAGTCGACGGTGAGGCCGACAATGCGCTCGTGCAGCGGTTTTGTACGCGTGAGCCACACGGAGCCCAGCATGAGGTCCTGCACCTGCACGGCGCGGCGGCGGTCGTTGAGGGAGCGCGCAACATCCTTCATGCTCGCGTGCGCCTCAAGCAGCAGCGCTTTTCCCGTTTCCTCGTCTCCAGTTCGCTTCACCTGTTTGGGCGGCGTTGTGTGTGTGATTGCATCACGAAGGCGCATTCGCAAGACGTGATGTGACCCAACAGCAAAAGGGAAACACCAAATGCGTGGCCACGGATTAAATGGGGAAGTCACAGACAGATTGATATGGTGCACACTGTCAGAGTGGCACACACACACACATATGCACAGACGGGGTGATAGACACAGAGACACGCACACACGCACAGACAGACAGACACATAGACAAAGGCGCGCGTGCACAGACAAACAGACAGACAGAGAGGCAGGCAGACAGACAGAGAGGCAGACATGCACAGAGAGACAGACACATACACAGACAGACAGAGAGGCAGACATGCACAGAGAGACAGACACATACACAGACAGACAGACACATGCATACACACAGACAGACACGCATACATACCTGCTCATCGAGGAGAAGGTGATAGCGCATGATGCGCTGCACTGGTGTGAGGAGGTAGTCTTTCAAGGGCAGGCGGTGCCCGAGCGATTCTTGACATGTGTGCAACAGCGCAGCGAGCTGACTGTCCGATTCCTGCATACGTTGGTGTCCATGACAGCGTGTCAAGTGGTGAGCGAGATGAATGTGTGTGTGTGTGTATGTATGTGTATGCGCGCGCGTGTGCGTGTGCGTTGGGTGCATTCAGGGTGTGTGCAGCCTTGTTTGTGGAGACATACCTGTCGATGCGCGAGGATGCTGAGCTGCCGGTCGTGGTAACAGCAAGGGCGGGTGTACAATGGGATGAAGTTCACGCCGAGAAAGCATCGGGCAATGGTTTGCGGTGAACGCTCAAACTCCGTCTTGAGCTGCACGGCAAACTTCTCGTGGAACGTTACGAGCTGCTTCCAGTTGCCGAAGATGGCATACTTTTCCTCGGGCGACAGCAGCTGGCAGCGCATGCGTGCGCGTGTGTGTGTGTGTGCATATACATGTGTGTGTGTGTGGTTGGGATCGGAGATGAGCGCGAAAGAGCGAACCAAGCAGCATACACAGACAGGCAGGTGCACAGAGGGAGAGACAAGGGCACAGACAGACAAACAGACAGCCATGCAGAGGGAGGGTGGGTACGGAGAGACAGACAGACAGACAGACAGACAGACAGACAGACAGACAGACAGACAGACACACAAACACATACACAGACACACAGACACACAGACGCACAGACACAGACACAGACACAGACACAGACACACACATACACACACACACACACACACACACACACACACACACACACACACACACACACACACACACACCGAGTCTGGGATGGCGTCAATGTAGCCACGCTGGATGTCGCGAAGATCGCGGGCATACGCTTCTTCCGTTGACACCAGCTCTTGAATGGCGTGAAGCTTCTTCTTCGCGTCTGCCATCCTTCTTGTTGTGTTCCTTGCACACTCGTTGCCCCTGCACGAGCTCTTGCCTCGACCTGCTCTTGTCCACCACTGCCCACCGCGCAACACCCGCCACCGCAGGCAATCAACCAACCAAACAAACGCGGGGAGCGGGAAGTGCTTGGAACGAACGACAGTCACCAGCAGCCAAAGGAGGAGAGAGACAATCAATCAACAACAACTGAACCCTTGTTGTTTTTGCTGTTTCTCTGTTTCTGTTGGCGCAAAATCCAAAGAGCAGAAGAAGAGTGGCGTTGTGCCTTGGGGTTTGGTGCGTGCGTGTTTGAGGATTGTGCTCGTGCAACAGCAGAAGCAGCGGCGTGCTTTGACCACCGCCTGACTGGCTGTGGTGGAGAGAAGGCGGCGAGCTCAACTGCACGTGCGTGCTGCAGCCACGACCTGAAAGTGCGCAACACACTGCAGTGAACAAGCATCCTCCCAACTCAACTAGACAAGCATCGCGTACAAGGCCAACGCGCGAGGTCGACGTCAAGACACACACACACACACACACACACACACACACACACACACACACACACACACACACACACACACTATGGCAAAAGTAAACGTGGTCTGCCATGTTCACAAGGAGGACGGCATTCACTCGGCCGAGCTTGCGTTGGACTTTCCCCTCACCTTTGATACGTTCATGGTGCGTGCGCGATCTCGCTTTGACATGCCTCTTGGGGGTGGGGGGGGGGATGCTTCAGTCTTGTTTGTTTGGTGGTGCACTGCTAGTCAGTCATCCTACCCGCTTGAAACTCACCAGTGGCCTTGCCTTCCTGCGGGTGACTGGTTCAACCCTTTGCCCTCGCACGGTGCTGCTACATGGTGGTCACTTTGAACTGCCCAATCTCACCAACCACAGGAGATGCTCCGACACGTCTTCGACGCAGACTTTGACCAATTCCTTTGTGCGTGTCTACCACTTCCCTTGCGCGCTCTCGTGTGTTTGTGTTCGCGTGTTTGAATGTGCACATTCTTCGACGCATCTGGGTTGAGTGTGTGTCCGTTGTTTGAATACGCACGTTGTCTGATACATCTGTGTCGATGTGTGTCATGTGCAGATGCCGATGAAGAGGATTACTGCACTGTGACAAGCCAAGCAGACGTGGATCAAATGACACAATGGGTGAGTGCTATATGTGTGTGTGCGCTTGTTAGCTTTCATGTGTATGTATGTGTGGGAGTTGCTACTAGCATTGCTGTGGTGCTCATCTTGGCACTCCCGTGGGGCTCATTTGACTACCGTCTGTGCCGTTGTGCTGTCATTTCTTGCTGCAGTGGTTGAGGCAGGGAAGCGACAGCAAAGCGTTGATCATTCACGCCGTTCCGCAGTATCAACGTTAGTCACACTGCACGCTTGCTTGGTTGTTTGCTTGTTTGCTTGTTTGCTTGTTTGCTTGCGCACGCCCATGAGTTTGGTTCATGTGTGACAGGTGCCTCATCAATGCTTTGTGGCCACGTGCTTGTTTGCTTGCCATGATTGCGTCTCTCTGCAGGGCCTGGGCTGTACGTACAGGTAAGGCTCGCATGCAATGTCTTTGCAGTACGCGCACGCGTGTTGCTTTCATTGGTGGCCAACACACCAGCAATGCCACGCTGAACGCTGTCTGCGCGTGTGTGTATGTGTGTGTGTGTGTGCGTGCTCGCAGGTGAATCCAGAGACAGGCCAGGCGACGGAACTGGACGCGCCAGTCAGGCACGCGGTGGACGAGCAATCAACAGAGGTGATGCTCGTACTTTCCATCACGCGCAAAGACAGGCACAAGATACAATGTGGTGCTCAAACACAAGCAAGGAAGTGCAGACAGACGTTCAGACACACATACAACACAGGCAGGGAAATGCAGCCTCCTCATCACGTATGGTTACTGTCGGGTTGTGCTTGGCATTGCAGATTCAGCCAAGCGACGTCACGGGTTTCCAGCTCATTGGTCGTGGGGCAGCGGGCTCCGTTTACAGGTCAAGCCAACACACACACACACACACACACACACACACACACACACACACACACACACACACACACACAAGTGTCGCTGTCACCACGTCACGTCATGCCTCACTTTTCGCCTGCCATATGTGTGTATGTGTGTGCAGAGCGCGGCACGTCCCGACCAATGCCATCATGGCGGTGAAGGTGATTGACTTTGACGTGAGTCCCGCTGTACAACAGCGCATCGTCACGGAACTCGACATTCTCCACAAGGTGCGCATCTATGTGAACATATGTGTGTGTGAGTGAGTGAGTGAGTGTGAGTGAGTGAGTGAGTGAGTGAGTGAGTGAGTGAGTGAGTGTGTGTGTGTGCGTGTGTGTGCAGTGTCGGTGGTGCTGCCAACCGACAGCACCAATTGTGACAAGATCCACTTTCGAGGCTTCTTCGTGACGCCTTGGTTTCCACCCATGTCTTACGTTGTTCGTATTTGCAGTGCCGCTCCCCACACATCATCACATACTTTGGGACGTATTTTGGCGATAACGGCATCCACATCTGCACAGAATACATGGATGGTGGGTTCAAACGTGACTTGCTTGCTTGTGTTTCACCCGCTGGCCGGATTGCATCTGTTCACGTGATCAGCACCATGTCGTGCACCTCCGCTTCGCACGCTTGTTTGTACACATTCATTCGCATTCGCACACACAGAAACACACGCATTCACGTTCGCATTCAAACACACAATCGCACACATTCACATACACATACACGTATACACACACACACACACACACACACACACACATACACACACAACCATGCAGGTGGGTCGTTAGATCGGCACGGCATCATCAGCGAGCCCGTGCTGGCGGTGATCACGCGCTCTGTGCTGGACGGTCTGTCCTATCTGTCAAAGGTGAAGGTGATGCATCGCGACGTGAAGCCCTCCAACATCCTCGTGAACCGACAAGGGCACATCAAGCTCTGTGATTTCGGTACGTCGATTCATTTGATTCCTGATTTGTGCTTGTGTGCGCCTGTGTGTGATGAGGGCATGTTGTGTTTTGGAGAAGCAATGCAAGTTTCGTTCGATTCCTAGTGGAGGTCAGTGTGTTGTGGAGTTCTGTTTGTCCTCCACCGAGCCACCATCTCTGACATGCGTGTCCAATGCTCATGCTCGGTTCTTTGCTCCTTGGTTGGCAGGTGTGAGCCGGGAGTTGGAGCAATCAGTGACCAGGACATTTGTTGGCACAAATGCATACATGGCACCGGAAAGAATACAGCATCAGCCATACAATGAGCGATCAGAGGTATGTGCATGCTTGCTTGTGTTTGGGTGTAGCGTATGTGAGAACTTCTGCACCCGTGTTATCATTTTCACACACACACACACATACACACACACACACACACACGCACGCACGCACGCACGCACACACACACACACACACACACACACACACACACACACACACACACACACACACACACACACCTGCAGACGTGGAGCCTTGGACTGACGTTGCAAGAGCTTGCCACGGGGACGTTTCCATACTTGATTCGAAGGTGTGTCGGCACATCGCACGTGCTGCCTTGATTGTGTGATGTCATGCACGACACGAGCGTTGCTGTTTCCCAATGCACCACAACGCATAAGCACCACCCAGCGCAACGACGTGCTGACGGACCACCACCTCACATGACACCTGCAATGGGCAAATGGGCAGGAGTGGGCTGACCCCAATTGAGCTGGTGCAAGTGATTGTGAGCGAGCCCGCACCAGAGCTGCCATCGGAGTTCTCGCATGACTTTCGCGACTTTGTTCGAAGGTGTGTGTGTGTGTGTGTGTGTGTGTGTGTGTGTGTGTGTGTGTGTGTGTGTGTGTGTGTGTGTGTGTGTGTGTGTGTGTGTGTGTGTGTGTGCCCTACACTGTGTTGCTGCATTCTCGATGGTTTGTGTTGTGGTTCATACGTTGCTGGGTTCCATCTCTGCCATACATGTGCCTTTTCCACCCCCCCCCCCAAATCATCACCACCACTACTCCACGTCAAACGTCACGGCACTGCCAGGTGCCTGATCAAGGAGCCCGACCTGCGGCCCGCAGCACGGCACCTGCTGGACCACGAGTGGATAACATCCATCCACGACGGCCACCACTCGGCATTCTCCGCTTGGATCCATGGTATTGACACCAGGCTCGGCGCCGCACACATGTCCATGGCGCAGTGATGGCGACGGCGCGACCAAACACAACAACACGCCATCACATGCTGCACCCTCGCCATTGCGTTACTCTCGCTGTCCTGGAACCGACCTTTCTTCCCCTGCCTCACTCTCCTTGTATGTTCGAACTGTCTGACAAGAAGAGAGCAGGGTGTATTATTTGGCTGTGTACTGTGGTCTTGTTCTGTGGCACGTTGTTGTGTGATGATGGTTTGAATGAATTGTTCAGCAGAGACCCACAAACATAACAGCAACTGAGCCGACTTTGCTGGGGTTCAGGCATTAAGGGCGTGTATTGGGGTGGACGAACGGACCGCAAGGGTGGAAGGAGGGGAGGGGGGAGCGTCTAAGGGAGTTAAGATTTGGAAGGAAACGACGTTTTTGTTTGTTTCGGTTGGTCTTTGGGGGGGGGGGGTATGGGTCGCGTGGTGTCACAAAGTTATCCATGCACCGCTCATCATCACATCACGATCATGACTCTTAGGGGGAGAAGCGCTTGGGGTCGCGTGGGAAGAGGGACGTCTTGCGAATGTTGGGCAGGCCGAGGAACAGCATGACAACACGCTCCAGACCTGCACCGCCAAAACAAACGCACACAAGACAAGGCGTCGAACGGGTTATGGTGAGGCCATGGCGCACATGAGTCAACGACAGCAAGCAGAAGAGAGCTGCTTTGATTTCCTCATGTCGACACCAGCAGCAGCACCAATAAAAGCATGTGAGCAGACGCACCGACACCGCCGCCACCGTGGGGCGAGCAGCCATATCTGAAGGCGTCAACGTAGGGGCCAATCTCCTCCAGGCTCAGCCCATGTGCCAGAGCACGCTCCTGTGTTGTTGATAGAACAGGGGAACAACAGGAGGAGCGGGGGGGGGGGAAAGAAAAGCAAACACCCAACCGTCGTTTGGTTACAACACAGTCAGACCCAAAAACTCCTTCAAGATGGCACAAGGCAAAACTCAAGGTGACGCAAAAGGTGAATCGAATTGGGTTGAACACACACACACACACACACAGAGTGCACGCACCTCGAGGAGCTTGGGGTCGTGCACACGCTGGGCACCAGACATAATCTCCTCGCCGCGCATCATGATATCGTAGGAATTGCTGTATGCCTGTGGTGGGGGTGTGTTGGGTTGAGTGGAACAGAGCAGAAAGGTAAGCAGGTGCCAGCGCGAAACAAGGGGGAAACAGCACACGCACAAACGCAGACGCTCAAAACGTATGTGTGTGTGAGAGCACCAATAGCGTCGGCGCCGACACATGTAATGGCGCAGGGAGCAGCAGGCCCACCATCCACCAGCACGTGCTGTCTGCGCCATGGTTGCACGGCATTTGAGCATCAGAGCAATCGGCCAAACGCACCGGGTTGGCTGGGTCTGGCATGGTGTAGAAGGGGCGGATGCAGAGGGGGAACTTGTCGAGGATGTAGAAATCGGTGCCGTACTTTGCCTTGACCAGCCGACCAAGGAGCTTCTCCTGTGGGGTGGAGATGTCGTCAAAGTCACCAATCTCCTCGCCGGCCTCGCGCAGCATGCTGATGGCCTCAGGCCACTCAATGCGCAGCGTTGGCTCCAGCCACGTGAACTTCTCGCGTGGAAACTGCTTGTTGACCATCTCAACCTCCTCCGCAAACTGCTCAGAGAGCCCACGGAAGATGCTGATAAACAGGCGGTCAAGCACCTCCAAAACCTACCGTGTGCGAGCACGCAAGTTTGTGATGAGATGAGTTTGTAGCGTGTTGTGGATTTGTTGATATGTGTACATGCTGAGTGCGCCATGACCATGGCCGGGAAAAGGACAAAAAAAAAAAAAACACACACACACATACACAGACACACACACCACCGAGCCCCACTCCTCCCGCGTCAAGCCTACCCGCCCCACCAAACCACACCCGAAACCTTAAATCCAACCCCAACGCACCTCGTGGTAGTGCTCGTTGAAGGCCATTTCCATGTCAAGACCAGTAAACTCGGTCAAGTGGCGGTGCGTGTTTGAGTCCTCCGCACGGAACACTGATGGGGAGTGGGGAAGAGCAGCAGCGATCAAACACAGCAAGGTGCAACAGCGGGGGTTATGTGCAGAGCCTCCCAGGACGGGTAGAGGGATGTCAAGCGTTCCTGGCAACTGCGCATCCGATCCAACAACAACAGCGACAACGTACCAGGGCCGATCTCAAACACCTAGACAGCCAGAGAGGGAAGCAGAGCCCAGGGGAAGGTTCCGCGACAGGTACACAGGCGCAAAAGCACAGGGTGGGGCGAACAGATGAGAGAGAGAGAGAGAGAGAGAGAGAGAGAGAGAGAGCTGCAATGACAGGTCTGGACAACGCATCAAGCACAGCACACGCGCCCCGGGGGGGGGGGGGAGAGAGAGAGTGTGTGTGTGTGTGCGTGTGTGTGCGCGCGCGCACGCGAAAAAATGGGTGGCAGGTCGCATTACACCACAACGCGCACCTTGCCCATGTCAGCAGCAATGCACATTTGCTTGTACAGCTGAGGAGACTGCGCCAGGAATGCCTGCGTCTTGAAGTACTGCAGCTTGAACACACTGTCGGTGACGTCGTTTCTTGGGTGAGGAATCGTACGATACAATACGTTTGCACAGACACAAGGACACGCGCACACACATACACAGCATGCGGAGGCGCTGTCAAACTTACGATGAGCCGCTCTCACTGGCGGTGCCGATGATCTTGGGGCTGTGGATCTCCGTGAAGCCCTCCTTGAGAAGAAAGTCACGGAAGAGGCGACACACGCCGGACTGCAAACCAGATACAGCGAGACAGGCAGGCTTGGTTGAGCCGTGATTTCGATTGATGCGATGCGCACAAAACAGTCCTTGTGGCCACGAGCAAAACCACCCGCAGCACTGCACCCAAACACACACACACACACACACCTGCATCTTGAAGATGGCCTGGTTTGGCTCTGCGCGCAAGTCAAGGACGCGGTTGTCGAGACGGGTATCCTGGTTCGGGTACTGCGTGTCGTCCTCGGCCCTTGTCGCGTCCTCAATTTGCAGAGGAAGGCGGGGAAGCGCCTCGCAGACGACAAACAGCTTATCGCCGGCCAGCTCGAGGTCCTTCATGGAGCAGCTCTCCACAGGCGATGGCGCCTTGTTCAGGATGCCCTCAACATCAATAATAGACTCCGGATTCAACCTGAATCAAATCCCGTGCGCGCACGTGAACAACGCAAGTGTGTGAGCGTGCGAGGGAGGGACAGAGAGACCAAGAGACAGCGAGACAGAGAGAGAGAGAGAGAGAGAGAGAGAGAGAGAGAGAGAGAGCGAGAGCGAGAGCGAGAGAGAGAGAGAGTGTGTGTGTGCGTGTGTGACACGCAAGCGGGCAGATTGATGGCGTGAGCAACATCGGTCACAATCAGGACGCTAAGGTTGGACTTACTTGCCGATGAAGCGAACCATGGCCTTGCTGACAACGTCGTTGACAGCGAAGATGGCCTGCAGGGAGTGCGTGCGCTGGCGGATGCGCAAAAAGGCCTGCTTGCCTGTGACGCGCACCGTATGCACGCGACCACGCACGAGCACGCGAGACGTGGCATCGTCAACGCTGAGGTCCTCGATGCGGGTGAACTTGCGCCCTGTGTGTGCATGCAATTGAAAGTTTGCAGGAGAAGGGGCAGCCAAAAAGATTGCGGTTGCAGAGAGAGAATGTGTGTGTGTGTGTGGGGGGGGGGAATCAAAAGATTGCGTGAGCCGGGGACCAAGCCATCATTGGACGAGCAAGCGGTGATGGTGGTAGTTGGCAGCCATCCATTGAAAGAGAAGGGAATCAGTCTTTTGGATGTTAAGAAATTGTCGTCACATCGGTTCTGACAAACTGTGAAAGATAATAAGAAACATCACGTTCCCATGAAATGGAACAAGCCAGCCATATTGGTTGTGCGTGTTTGTGTGCGTATTTGTTTGTTTGTGTGTGTTTGTGTGTGTTTGTTTGTGTGTGTTTGTGTGTGTGTGTGTTTGTGTGTGTGTGTGGCGCACGATCGTCTCACCTTCGCGGGACTGCGACTGAATGCGCTCCTTCTGGCCATAGCGGTCCTTGGCAAAGTCCTGATGACAAAGAGACAGCGTGGGGGTGGAGATGCAGGTCGAGAGGGGAAATCAAGGTCAGGGTGAGCGTGAGGGTGCATGCACGACACACAGACAGACACACACACATATGCACACAGGCAGACACAAAAGCATATGCACACAGGCAGACACAGACACACAGACACACACACATATGCACAGAAACGAACACGCACTCACTGGTCCCTCGCGTGCAAGACGGTCGGCCTCTTGCTGTGCTGCAATCTCCTTTTGGCGAGCAGCCTTCTTTGCGGCCTTTTCGGCCTTCTTGCGCTCCTTCTCGGCCTTCTTGGCAGCCTTCTTCGCCTCGCGCTCCTCGGGCGTGAGCGGCTTCTGCTCCTGTCCTTCAGGTGGTCCTGGCATCTTTTGTGGGGTGCTTCTCACTGTTGTTGGGGTTGATCGCTTCGTATTGGGGGGTGAATGTGTCAGCGTGTGTGTGGTGTGTGGTGTGTGGTGTGTGGGGTTACGCGAGGAGAAAATAATTTTGGGTGGATTTTCCACACGTGCAGGTTGCTGGCCACGCAAAACATGTCTGGACACGCCCGGCTGAGTCGCCAAGCCTCCTTCGCCAACCTCCTGCGAGGATCCAGCACTGAGTCCATCTCAACCTGGATCTCCTCCCTCGGCCGAGCTCCAAGGTCAGATGGAGAGAGAGAGAGAGAGAGTGTGTGTGTGTGTGTGTGTGTGTGCGTGTGTGTGCGTGCGTGTGTGCGTGCGTGTGTGTGTGCGTGTGCGTGTGTTTGTGTTTGTGTTTGTGTTTGTGTGCGCGCGTTTGTTTGTACATGCGAGGTAACGAAGACTTCATGAGTGTGTGTGTGTGTGTGTGTGTGTGTGTTGGACCGTTACGATGAATACTCACGATGTGACCACCCATTCATGATTGCGTGACTGTGGCAGCTTGACGCGATGCTCAAGCTCGTTTATACGCCATGTGACGCCTGATGCCTCTGCGCCGCTCTCGTGGGCAGAGAGCACCACCAACATCGAGATTGCCGCCTCCGACGTCCCCGGGGTGCGTTGCTCTGTGCGTGTGTGTGTGCGTGTGTGCGTGTGCACAGTGTGTGTGCACAGTGTGTGTGCACAGTGCGTGCGTGCGTGTGTGTGTGTGTGTGTGTGTGTGTGTGTTGTTACCTACCTACCTCCCTCCCCCCCCCCTCTCTCTCTCTCATACACACACGCGCACACACTGCGGTGCAGTTTTCGGAGGAGTTTCTGAACCTGACGCGATCGCCAACCAGGACAGGGCTTGTCGCAGCTCAACAACAGGAGCGGCAGCAGCAGCAGCAGCAAGAGGGGGAGCCGCAGCACTATCAGCAGCACCATCACCAGCAACAGCAGCAGCAGCAGCAGCAGCAGCAGCAGCAGCAGCAACACCACGAGCAGCAGTCGTCGGCGCTCACCCTCAACCTCAACATGGAGGCAGACACCCGCGGTAGTGCCAAGGCCAGCTCGTGGATGTACAGCGGCACCTTGCACCAGCTCTTCACCAACATTGACCAGGTGTTCCCTGTCCAAATCACATCATCCGAGGTGCGTTTTGCGCGGCTGCGCACGCGCGCGTTGTGTTGAGCCGCATGGGTTGGTTGCATGCACTCGTTTTTTGTCGTTGGTCCAGATTGCGCTGCGATCCTGCACTCACGATATTGTGTGGCGTGGTTGTGGTGCGGTGCTTTGCCTTGCGTGCGTTGAACCAGTCGGTGCCAGAGTCGGCGAAACTGCATGTTCAGCTGCAGTTCTCCAAGGATCCCTCCCACCCCATCCCTCGCTGCCCAACGCATCTGGCAGAGGATACTGCACGTGAGCCACTGCGGGTGTGGACAGCTGTTCTGCTTGCTTGTGTACCTACGTGCGCGTCGCTCCACGTCGGTGTCACAGTTGTCCTTTTCCAACCCCTCTCTCCGATCCTTCCACTCGCTCACACATACACACACACACATACACAACTGCATGTAGCACACGCTGAGCACGTGCTGCAGACGACGATGCCAACTGCAGACTATCACATGGACACCAGCGTGAGTGTGTGTGTGTGTGTTTTCATGTGTTTTCATATCTGTGTGTATGTGTGTGTTTTCTTGTGTGTTCATGTGTGTGTGTGTGTTCATGTGCTTTCATATGTGAGTTCGTGGTCCCTTTTCCCCTCTCCATCTCCATCTGCTTCTATATCCCGCCCCTTTGCTCTCTCGCTTGGCTGTTGCTCACAGTTGCGTCACATGCCCCATCATTACGTTCTGTGCTGAAATTGACAGGGTCGGGCGTATCTCGTTGTTCCCATTGAGCGATCAAAAGATGGTGCGTTTGCACCTCATTTTGTTCTTCGTCTCTGCTCTCTCATCTGCTCGTGTTTTGACATTGTCACCCGCAAATTACACACGCCCCTCAGCCCCAATGAGCACTCACCGCCGCATTGTGTCGCCATTGCCCTCTGGCTGCACCTCTCCCCTCTGTTTTGCTGCGTTGCAGAGGGCCTGCTGTGCCAGACGCTGCTGCTGAAAATGCGCTGTTTCTCCAGCTGCAGCGGTGGCATGAACAGACGTCCCGTTGACATTGTCTTCACCCTCATCAACGGGTCCGCATGTTCTCGTCGTGGTCGTGGTCGTGGTCGTGGTCGTGGTCGTGGTCGTGGTCGTGGTCGTCGTGGCAGTCGTTGCCAATGCTCCTTGTGCGCCACATTCTTGTCACTGCACACACCCTTCCACTTCGCAAGCATGCTCACATGCTTGTGCGCATGATGTTTTCTGGCGTCTGCGTGTGCAGTGCGCAGCTGCTTGCACAGGTCTCTGTTGCCGTGCGCGTGTGTGCGTGCCCTGCGCGGGACTGCCGCAACATGGAGCGCCAGCAGGCAAAGCGCGCCGCCAAGTCGCACCAGGGAAAAGGTGCGCAATCGCAAAACGAAGGGGGGGGGGAAGGAGGACACCGAAGATGGTGGTGCTATTGGCGATGGTGGTGGTGGGGTGAAACGAGCGGCTCAGGGGAGAGAAGGAGGCTGGCGATGTTGTTTGTTGAGTACTTTTTGGCAACAGTAGCAGCAGTATTAAGCCATGCAAGTTGTTTAATTCACTGGCATTTGATTTGCTTGGTTTGCACGTATGTTATCTGTTGTACAGATGTGAGACATCCGGCGAAGAAAGGAAAGGTGCGTGGCATCACCGCCATCTGCAAACGCCAGGATGCAGACCTTAGAGACAGCGATACGTTTTCCCTCAACGTAAGCGATGCAAACCATGGTGTGTGTGTGTGTGCGTATATGTGGACATATGTGTGTTTGTGTGTGTATGTGTGTGAAAATACATTTGTGTGTGTATGTGTGTGAAAATACATTTGTGTGTGTATGTGTGTGTATGTGTAAATTTGTGTGTTTGTATGTGCATGTGTGTGTGCGTGTGTGTAAATACATTTGTGTGTGTGCGTGTGTGCGTGTGTGCGGACCGATGTGTGCCCTCACGCGCAATGTGTTTTGGATTTTTTTTTTTTTTTTGCAGATCAAAGGCCGCGCCAACTACCACATTATCCGCCGCATTGCAGAGGCTCTCAAGACAAACCAAGTCAAGTAAGGGCCTGTTGTTGGCGCTTGGGTGCACATGCATTCGCTCTAGATCACCGCATTACTCTCGTGAATTTCCACTTATGTACAACCACCCACACGCACACATGCACACACATGCACACATGGTTGATGTGCGTGCATCACATCAGTGTTCCGTGGAATCGGTCTGCAGGTGCCATTGTCATTCCCGACAACATCCACGATGTCGCCAGCGTGCCGGAGTAAGCAACAACACAGCCGGCGGTGGTGTTGGTGTGGTCGGGGTGATCTTGTGTTGTGCTTGTCGCATCGGCTGCTCGTTCACGCACACGCACACGCACACGCACACACACACACACGCACACGCACACGCACACGCACACGCACACGCACACACACACACACACGCACACGCACACACGCACACGCACACACACACACACACACACACACACACACACACTGAACAACACCACTTGTGCATTTCCTACAGGTTCCTGGCACGACTGGGGTTGACGCAGTATCAGCCGCTGTTTATGGGCAGCGGATTTGACGACCTTGAAGTCCTGGAGCACCTCGACCTCAACGTGAGCCGCGAACAACGTGCATCCACGCACGCACGCTGCTTTGTGTCCTCAGCGCTCTCGCTTCATGCCGTTGTTCTCCCCTGTTTGGCCCCCCCCCACACATACACATCCGCCTGCAGCCGCTGATGGAATGACCTGCACTGTTGCACACACACACACACATGCATGCATGTTCTTGCTGACTGGTCAGGATCTGTCGGCAATTGGCGTGGAAGATGGCATTCACCAGGACACGCTGCTCTACGCCGCTGCCAAGCTTGCTCGCGTGAGTCATGCCTGTGCAGTGTCATGCATGGTGTGCATCGTTTATGTATATATGCATGTATGTACGCATGTATGTATGTATGTATGTACATGTGTCGTTGTGTGCATCGTGTGTTGTTTGCACCACTCGTCGTGCTGTTTTGCTCACGCACAACACACACACACACATGTTGCTGTTTGCAAACATCTCCTCCCCTCACCCAACCCCCAACCTTAACCCCCAACACACACACACACACACACACACACACACACACACACACACACACACACACACACACACACACACATACTATTTAAAAATTATTTTTACCTATATTACTATGCATAATGATTATCCAAAATTTATTGATCTTTTTGAAAAATAAGAATGTGGAGGAATTC